ACTCAAATTCCTGGGAAAGATTACCTTGTGGTTGATGTTAGAGATGATGATTACGAGGTAAATAACCTTAATAATTTCATCATCACAATTCGTTTTTATATCTTCAACGCCGACTATAATACCTTCGATCATCTTTAGCGTCCTTTTTCTATTTACAACATGTCTTCAACTTCACCGTATAATACAAACCCGGCGTCGAGTTTACATCTTTTTATTCACGTTCAGTCTTTTAAGGACAATATTATTTATTATACGAATCATCTGGTCGAAAAACACTCAAAACAAAGTACTTGCAATCAGTTCAGGAATTTTAATTTCCAGCGCATTTTTCATAATAGTTTTGGCAGTATACAACCTTTTAATAGATTGGGTTCTCATTACCACAAACGTCTCACAGATAACAACCGATCATTCAAGTTCGCAATTACATTCAACAAAGTTAACATTCTATGAGCGATACTCCATAAATATAGTAAAGTTTCTTCTCCCGGCATTTTCATTACTCGCTGTAATTGGATCAATTAAAGAATTCGATTCAAATACATTGGTGTCTCTGAACCATTCATTGGCTAAAGGCGACATCTTGATAAAAATTTCAACGATATGTTTTTTGACCAGCATGGTTTTTTATATGATTCTTATCACATATTTCGCATTGAAATATAGCAATAAACCTATACAATCACAATTAAAAGTTTTGGTTTTATATATAGTTGGAGCTTTATTATTGATTGGACTAATTTACAGAACTTTTATGATTTTCGCTCCATCTACCGATAAAATCAATAAAATCAATAAATACAGTTGGATCTTTTATGTGTTCGAGTCTCTTCCGGAGGTTTTGATTTTGATAATCTTGGGTGGCGTTATTTTGGGTGAATGGTTTTTTGAGGACGACAATATAGACTTGACAAACATTAAAACCGTGTCGATTGGTTCAGTCAAGGATAATAGGGTGAATGCAACCTCAAATGTTTGATTACAAATCACGAAAGAAACGTTTATTAACGTTGAAATTGTTAAATATTTACATAATGAACAATTAATTACATACATTACTGGCGAATGTTGTAGAAATACCTAACTTAATATAGTAATGCGCCTTTAGGAGGTGCTTTCTTGAACGATATTCTGCAAATGGAATAATAATACATTTTTTTTTTTTTTTTTTTTTTTGTAAATTTTTAATAATTTGTAACAATTTCATTATCATGTAACAAAAAATTTTCACATCCCATTCTTTTACATGTAATAAAAAAAAAAACAAGAACCAAAAGTATATGAATTAATTCATTACACATTTTATACTAGTAATCATTTTCTTTTGTTCACATATTCTAGTTCAGTTTTAAAATGTCAATTATAAATCTTTTTATCCGAGGGTTGGGAAGTGTACTGCGCCATATTCAAATTTATCTGTTGTTGTATTACGTCATTTAGAAGTCATTAAATCATAGTGGACTAAATCGGTGTTGGTTCACGTTATCGATATCCTCAAGTATATATAATATTCATGTCGCCATTCAAGTTGTTCCTTGTTGAATCTTCTTTCAGCGAAGGTAATGACAATTTATTATTTTTGTAAAAAAAAAAAGAAAAAACAAAAAAAGTTGTCAACCATATAACATAATAATTTATTAATATCAAAATATTCCAGAGCAAACAGTTTTTTGTCTTTGAAATAAACTATATTTCCGCATATTATCAAATTAACGAAATTTATTTGAAGTTTGTATTGAATTATCTATTTTTCTGGAGTAACCTTCTAAACTAATCTTTTTTTGATTCTTTATATTATTTAGATGTCCAATCAAGAAGCGTATCCTTCAACCCCATCGCCACAAGGTACACCAGATCCACCAGCTCCACCACCAACTCCTGCTACTCCATCATCAGCATTACCTGAAAAATTCACGCTTATAGAACGAAAAGGAGATTTGTTTGTTGATGCACCATCAACTGATGCATTAGCTCATTGCGTCTCTCAAGATCTTCGAATGGGTAAAGGCATCGCAGATATTTTTAAGAAAAAATTCAATGGAGTAGAAGAGTTAAAGGCTCAAAAACGTGTCGTTGGTCAAGTGGCTTATCTTCAACGTGATGATCGTTATATCTTTTATGTGATTACTAAATCTGATGTTTATGACAAACCTACTCAAAAAGATTTTGAAACTAGTTTAATTGAATTGAGAAGAATGTGTGAAAAATTTGGTGTAAATGGGTTAAGTATTCCTAGAATTGGAACGGGATTGGATGGGTTGTCTTTAGATTTTGTAAAAGATTCTATTAACAAAGCTTTTGAAGGAAGTAGTGTCAAAGTTACTATGTTTTATCTGTAAAATGATTTTAATTTTTTCGGGTATATAACCTGGTTGTAACCAAATAATTTCTTTTTGATGATCATCATTTGTTAACATGAAAAAAATAATTTGAAATAGTTTTATTAATAATTTTTGTTATGAATAAAACGTATATTGAGAATGAATTCCTTCTATTCTATTACATTAATATACATTGTATCTAATCTAATTATAATCTCCAAAGTTATATAACTAATAATCTTCGTATTCCCAATGTTCAGCATCATAATTCTCGACGAGTTGAGGATCATCCTTATATTCTCTTTGCCATTCGCTAAATCCACCTTGTAATACTTGAACCTTTTGATCTTTGTTCGTTGTATTTTCTTTATATATTCTTGCACATTTTGGACCACGAACTTGAGATAAAGCGCATGTGAAAATTATCCTAGGTACTAAATGTGACATGAAAAAAAAAAAATAAAGATGAAATTTTAAGGTAAAATCGATGTTAATTAAAAAAAAAATTCTTTGAAAGATTTACCTTGACTGTGCTTGAAAACAAGAGCGGTAATATGATCATTTATTTTGTGAGAAGGTTTGTTAATGCTGTTTGGTATGTTACCTCCCTATTTGGCAATGTTCCATTATTTGTAATTATATTTTTAGCGAATTTTGATGATAAAATTATTAAGGTTATTTACCTCGTAATCATCATCTCTAACATCAACCACAAGGTAATCTTTCCCAGGAATTTGAGT